GGCTGATTGGTGGATGTCCGGAGAGATCCAAGGCATTCGATTCAGGGCTTATTGCTGCACAAAATTGGGGAGGCACGGCTGCGCTCCCCAGCACTTGGCCTGGCTTGTCACTCGACTAGGCGGTTGGCTATGGGGGAGCCGAGAAGTGGTGAGGAACGATCTGCGCACTGATGGCCTTTAGTTTAAGGTGAGAACACGGCACGGCTCCGGGAGTGCTATTGCTTCTCGTTCAGTATGGAATACTTTCCGATCTTCTGAGCACGTTCCATTAAATTAAATGCTTCATTGTCTGGTCAATTCACATTTACAATTTGGAATTCTAATCTAAATTTAATTTTGTAAGATTCTCAATTAATTAGAACTCTTATGTTTTATTTCTACAGACGTGAAGTGGCGCTAAAGGTGGAGGGTGCCTGGAGCGGAGTCTGAGTCAGGGACCTTGGAACTTGCTAAAGAACTCAATCTTTTCAATAAACTGGTGCACTGCTTCGACTCTTAGTCTCACCTTCCCAATAAATTTAGTGCTAAATTTTATTACTCTTATCCGGTCGCAGACCGCCGCCAACCGCCGCCAAATTCCTTACGCTGGAACCCTATACGCTATAGTGTAGCTACGGCAAGACTGCCTATAAATAGTAAAACCTTTCAAACTAACTATCCATTGAAATAGTGAATCTTGAAAAATAGAATTAGTGCAACTAGATAAAAAAATTAGAAAAAATACGGCATTATGGCGAAATGTGTTGTGATTGAGCCCACTAAGGGTAATTCATATCCAATTTGCCGTAAATCTTGCAAAGCACCATTAGCCGTTAAATGCAACAAATGTCGTTCGTTTAAACACCTTCGTTGTACAGCGCTCCCGCTTTACGTTCTCGTGAGGCTACCAGACCAGAGTTTCATATGAATGCGAACACTGCGTTATGAGAGATTGCAGAGATAAATACAACGTGAGTAAAACTAGGCGACCCTGTCTGTAACCATATGTAACTTCTCATCTTGATCTCACTTACTTATTTCCGATTTCAACAATTCCACTATTAAATAATTATAAAAATATTCAGCCAGAAAATCTTGTCAATTCTCGAGCACGAATAACACTCGTGTAATTTCTGAATCATAAAAATTCAGTAAACGATGTAAATACTTTTATGTTTGGATCGTACCATTGAATATTGTGAAATTTGTTTCGAATGTCCCATGGATTTAATGCCCCCATTAGCCAGTCGCGCTTGAGCGTCATTTTCTGTCTGCCGCCGTGGAGTTAACAGCATAGGGGTAGGCTGCAAAGTCAACCTTTAGAATGGAAGTCAGATAATCGTGATTTAATATTGCCAGCATTATAACTGAATCACAGTTTGTATCCCTTGTATTCTCTTGATATTGTTATCATATTCTCGTTAATGTCGTGTCTGTATTCTTACTACTACACCTATACGTACAGATGCTGATTGGCGCCATCATTCTTCAACCCTCAATAAACTCGCTGAATCTTCACAGTCATTACTCCATTCTACATAATACATATTGCACTAATTAGTTAGGGAAGAGGGACGGTCGTTGTAAAATCCAATATCTCCAACCACTATGAGAAAACCTTCCTCTTTCTTCAGTTTTCACGGCACGGCGTTGTTTTCCTTTTCAATGATAATTTCCACAAGGATCTCTGTACACAAAATTAGTGACGTCGGACTTTCTTTCATGGGTGAATAATATTCAATGATATCTGCTTCAATGAAAGAAGCAGATATCAGGTGAATTTGAAGGTAGCCTAATTCGTAACTTTTGCTTCAGTTACTCTCAACAGTTTTTTATTCGCTACTCTTAAAAAATGAGATTGAGGCTAAACCGCTTAGAAGTTCTCCGTGTGGTGCCATACAAATTTCAATGACTGCTATTGGTTATTAATGTTTACCGAGAGTGCTGAAATGCAGTCAGTATATAACTTCATTTAGTTGAACGCAACTTGAATTTAGGGAGTAAAAAGTTTCGTGAAATAGGCCTACTAGAACAACGGGTGAATTTTTTTGGGATTTACCAGCCATTATTCTCGGATTTTAAGCTTATAGAAAGAAAAAGCTTAGTAAAATCAATAATTAATTCTTTGTCAGGCATAGCAAGTTTCATTTCAAGCGTACCGGTTTTCTGCACTCCGGGGCTAATGACTCCTATTGAGGTACAGAGACTTTTGCTTCAAAGTGTGAAAATTTTATGATATATTCAGTGATAAATTTTTGCATGACTTCAAATACACATAACCATACTACAAAGTAGCAAACGCATATATTTTCAATATACCAGCATTTAATAAGTTTTTGATTTTCTAGGAGTAAAAGTCTGCTATTGAGGACATTGCGTGCCATTTTTTCTGAAAAAATATTAGACACATCCACTTGAAAATAGCATTCAATTAAAAACTTGCTGTTCAAATGCTCCTGATTTACAGCATTTTTTATGAACTGACAGGAAACATTGTGTGTTAAATTAAAAAATTAGCCAGGCGTAACAGGCTAACCTGTTACTTCAACTCCGCATGCAAGTTAAGGAGCGTCTACCCCAAAATCTATCTCGGTTATTTACAGACGGATCGTATCGAAACTTGGTACATGCATGTAAAACAGAAAATAAATCTTTTTTGTTCNTCAAAAACTTCATATACAGTAATCGAAAACAGTTTTATTTAACAGCAAAAAAAAACTTTTATCTGGGCTAAAACAGTTATTTGCGAGTAACTTATCAACGCAAACTCTTAGCAAAACGTAGAGCCACACACTTTAGCCCAGTGAAACTGTCGACCGGCGGTAGAGAACACGGACCAATATCTGACATACTTCGCGGGAAACCCGCTATGGGCCCATGACCCACAGTGGTCCCTTTGCCCCATGTTACCCTATTTATTATGATGATTGTTTTTTTTTTCATTTTTGACTTCTGCATCTGTTCCTCCAATTTTGTTGCATGCTTCGAGAAAGCTGCCTAGTAAATGATCTGAATATACCACATTTTACCAATAGAATATTACATACATGATAAGAACTCTTTAATTCGTGGAGCACTGCACACATGCATTCGAGAAATAAGATGGCATTAAGTAAATATTACCGCCATGCTCATTATAAAAAGTGCAAATAAACATTTATAGCAGTCATTTCTCCTCGTGACATGAAAATCTTCGTTTACATTTTGCTGTAAACACGGCATTTATTCTATATTGCTCACTCCCAGCCACACAATGCATTAAATATACAAAATATATACGTCAAATCCTGCGTGAACGTCCCATACATTATACGCGACTGCATTACTGGTTTATAATCCGGGAGCTTAAAATGCGTGTGTGCGCAGCCGTAGACCAGCAAATTAACGCTCAAATCGGCCCAGGAGCCAACATCAACCATCTAAATGCTATAGAAGTTGTCATCCTGGCCCCTAAGCAGCTGTAGTCAATTGACCTATCTCACCGCACGAACTTTAAACCAACACTGCTTCAGCACACAAGCTGCTATTCCACATAGTTAACAGTCAATACGTTGTTCTCCAATGCTTTATAACCCATACCATCACTTCTTACACATGCTGTTATCCTAAGTGTCCGCTGACCTCACTGCAGAGGAGACGGGAGAGGTATGTCATTCTGTACACATGGAAAATGATAACTGGAATGGTGCCAAACTTCGAGAGCGAGACCTTCAGGATTCAGACATATCACAACGAGAGAAGGGGGAGACTGTGCAAGATCCCCCCACTACCCACTACGTAACAGATCCGCGGTCAGATTTCAATCCCTGCGGGAAGGATCACTTTCCGTGGCAGGGCCAAGGCTGTTCAATGCCCTACCAAGGGATCTAAGAGAGGGGGAGTTCACCCTGGAGAATTTCAAGAGACATCTAGACGTGTTCCTGGGCACAATCCCAGATCGACCTCCCCTGCAACACTTCCAGCGGCGAGAAGCAAGCAACAGCATCGTGCATCAGGTGGCCTAAATGAGGGCGGATGAACAATAACCAGAGGCGGCGATCCATCGTGGCCTGGGACAGCTATGTCCCAAACAAATACTAAGGATATTAAGGACTAAGATTTCTGTTGCTTTTCACCTGTCCCTCCTTGTCACTGCGTCTCTTTGAGATGCTAACACTGCTTCTTTCGAGCCAGCTTCAGCGGGCTGGACATCTGAGACCTTCCGCCCCTTGTGAGCTATGATATCTTTTGGACTTTGAATGATTGAAAACTTCCGCCTTGCTGACGATGTTATCTGTTGACCTCCGGTGCGAAATAGCCTGATTGCCGAAGCGCTAGCAAACCGTTCTGCTACTTAGACTCAATTATTGATCTATCAACGCATTTTACAGGCGATCATTTGATCGTATCGATCTAATTCTACGCATCCTTTTTTGTAATATATACATATTTACTGTTTAAAAATGATCTGATCAACTATGATCGATAGATTAGAAATGGAAATTGCATGATTAATATCGTCGCAAACCGTTGATCTGACATTTGTCAATATTAAGTAGTTCATCAAAATTTGCTAGCATGATTACGGAATTGATTAGTAACAACACATCTTTTATTTTATCAACAGGCTGGCGGAAGCGGGTGGGAGCCTATTGGGGGTGGCTGCACTGCAACTTTCTATGGAGATAATCCCTACATGGCGGCGTATTCTTGTGACGAGACTTATTTTCACCACATCTGTGAAGGGCCACCAACAGCAGGTGAGAAGTGGTATATATTTAAACATTTATTTATTCGATGAGCTTACAACGAAATTAACAAATTTATAAAAAAAACCGTGTCCGTATGATGGAGATATGGATAAATTTTGTGTGCGTTTAAATTAATATCATTTATCCTAAATCTGCATTTTAGACCAGCACCTCTAGGATCTAAATATTTAAATCATGGAAATAAAATGTATTTCATGCTCTTCCAGAGGGCCATTGCAACCCCCCTTTCACGGCGGTAGGAAGTCAGTGCCTGAGCTTTGATAATTGATAGCTCAGCCATGCAGCCATGGGAGGCATCGAGAAATATCTGCCAGGCGGATGGTGGCGATCTGGTCACATTCGATAATTGCGAGCAGTTCGGAGTAGTGGCTAATTACTTCCTCGAGGAAGGTTAATAAACGTTCAATATACAGATCGACCAAGCAGATAGATTCAGCCGATATATTAGTGGCCATGGAAAGAAGTCTCTGAACATAATCGGTCAAATACTCCAGCTGCAGTTTCAAAAGTAAAGGTTCACAACTCGTTTTATGGTATCTATAGTCGGTTTACAGAGAAAAACATAAGAAAGGGAGCTATTGTTTCAAAAAGCATGGTGTACGTTAATATAATTGAACAATATATTTTTTAAGACTGCTATGTTTCTTGATATTTCAGTAGTGGAAACAACAGTATCCAAAATCGATTAACACCAATGTAGAAAATGAGGATAACTTGCAGTTTAGTTAGGGCTAATCACTGTTGGTTATTCACTGACCTACAGTATTTTGACACTGGCAACTAACATTGAATAATAAAATCATTATTTAAAAACAAGAAACAATGAATAATAAAATCATTATCTTTAAAAATGCAACGATAAAATTCCTCCTAATTAGACGCTTCGCTAATTCTTAGATATTAACCAAAAGCAAGAGAAAAAATCAAACAACTTTGCCAGATTTGCAGCACATAACCTACTTCTGGTTGGGCGGCTACCAGGTAGCCGGGACGAACGACTGGTTTTGGCTCGACAATTCTTCGATTCCCATGGGACTTCCTTATTGGGGTCAGGTAAGATGGCTAATGAAAATTATCCAGCAGAATTTGACGATAAAAAAAGAGCCATATCTTTGCCCTTGTTACTTGTTTGGGACATAGCCTTCTGAGATCTTTTAAAAAAATCCATCAACTTGAGAAATACTTACTCAAGTTACTATACTTACCGTACAACCATACTGCTTCCATGAATAAATAACGATCAAATTACCCATAATTTAGTGAACTTCGTGTTATACTTCATCAATACGACCTCATTGTCAACCATTTCGACGATTCTGCCTTATAAGACAGAAGGCTCTGTCTCCACTTATTTCTTTAAAAAGACAGATGATGAAATAATATTTCTCATTCATCATTATATCCAACAAAATGACGGAGATTTTTTCTCTTGATTAGTTCGGCTCCGGTGGATTGGTCCCCGACAACCCGAAGGTCGAGCAGTGTCTGGAACTCGGTTATGACTATCGGCATCGGTTCAATGATCTTGACTGCCTAGAGTTACGCCGGCCGCTCTGCATGGCATCGCCAGTTGAATGACAACTTATGGCATGAATCACATTTTCATAGCACAATCATAGTTTTCAAGGTAAAAACTTTCAGAGAATGCAATACCGAATACCAGAGAATACCAATACCATAATATTTGAACATGTTATCTCGAGTCCGCGAGTATAGTAATATAAAATGAATACGGAGCTGTGCATCTTGCTTTTTAATATAATGCTTACATTCAATTAGTTGGAAATGAAACACATGTAATTCAAGTTTAACGTTTTTTTTGCAAATGAGCTCGTAGTCCCGCGTATCGTTGTTGGGGTCAGTTTGTTAAATAAAAAATCAATAAATTGGCTGAAATACTTCCTGTTTTCTTTCACGAAATAAAATTCATCGCTGCTGGAAGCGGCGGAGTCTTCAATGCGATCATTTATTGACATTTCAAAACAGTATGTCGAGCGGGTAACAATTCACTGAGAGGAGAAGGCCCCCTGTTTTGAAACACTTGGGTGTTTCAAATCCTCCCCGAGCGATCGTGTCCAAACCGAAAAACCCAGGTGTTTCAAAATTTTCGATTTTGAAACATCTGGGTGTTTCAAACTAGGTGTGCACCGAAAGTATACGGAGAATGAGACCTTCTTTTCAGAATATCTGCAATATCCTTGTCCAATTTCCAGCGCCTGATGAAATTATTTTAACATCCTCCACTCCTCCGGTCGATCCCAGTCTAATCCATGGCCGCCTCCCTAACAAAATTATGAAAACTATATTTCTTTGTCTTTATCTGATTTCAGCGCTTTTCTCCTTCACAGCGGAATTAGTCACATATTCATTCTTGTATACACATATTTATTACACAATTTATATCGGTATGTACAATCATTATGAAACTACACTCTTTGCTCTCACCTCTATTGAACTCTGGTTGAAGAAACTGTGTCGCCCGCCGAGATTCGAACCTCTGCCAATACTGCAACCAAACGCTCGCGATCAGGCGTCTTAGTCCACTCGGCTACGGAGACGGCAACTACGCAGAGTTGCAGTGTTTGTTTAGTCTTGCGCGCGGTACTACCAGAATAAATCTTTGATTTTATGATTAACTTCTTGTGTGATTGAATGGTATATACGTCGCTCGTTAACATTACTATTGACAAAAGAACAGCAGTGCGTTGGAACAATTAACCGAATTGAGATGGGCCAATTAAATGTATGCAGTGTAGATTCGTGGCATTCATGAGCGGCGGCCCCACACAACCACCTCCTATGACAGCATTCGGCGCACTGACCACGCGACGCCAGCCGCACATATATAAGTGCGTCAAGCTCGGGGAGACTGAAACACCCGAGTGTTTCAAAACGGGGCCTTTTTCTCTCAGTGAAGAAAGACAAATATTCCGAGTCTTTATCTATCAGCTGCCCATTGCGCTCAGGAATCCACCACATGATACGAGGCTCCGAAAACACACGGTAACGTGAACATTTCTTTTCAAAACAATACCCCAGTTACGATTAAGACTGACACGGCACTAATTATGTTGGGAACCAGTCACTAAATAAACACATCAATAAAATCTTCGAGCATTATAGCGATGAACGTACAGATAGCGTACAGATAGTGTTTAAGTGATGAATAAAAATTATAGCAATCAAGCAAGCTTTATGTACAAAATGTAGGAGTATAAACTGTTTGTTCATGTAACAGTGTTTCGGACTATAAATTTGTACTTTGATTTCGGTGCCATTTTAAGTGGTGGATCATGAAACGTACAGAGCGAGTATGGACGAGGTTACCGCGGAAGTTACTTGAAGCTCTAGATGAGAAATAATATGCATACTAACCTCTAACTTTTAATAAAACCATACATTAAACCACGTTCCCTCACATCGTTGATACGTTACTTCTCGTGCCGCGTTAAACGCTTAATTTATATGAGCTTCCTTATCGTTCATCCAAGTGATATTTATGGCTTGACTCCATGTTTAGCAATTTTTTTGGTATTAATACAAAATTTGAATGAAAATTTTCTCGCATAAAACCAGGAAGGTGAATCTTCTTCAACGCTTTATTTCCAGCATTGTTCTCTAAACAGCATTGTTTCGACCAACCCTGGTCTCTTAAATTTTAAATTAATTGAAAAATCACATTTTTGTACCATGTAGCGTGCTGCATCACTTACGAATTATGACGTAATCATTACTTGTATTAAATTTACATGACAATTTACTTTTACTTACCAAACAATGTTATCATCAAGACAAACATATATATTTATATATAAATCTGACTAGATATTTACTAAGCGAAACAATCTGAAACTTTCCGTGTGTTTTTTACATCCGACGACGACTCGGAGACGGAGGACGACGAAGGCGGCGCATCAGCGTGACCTTGGACTACGACGTCCTAAACTCATCCTAAGGTAAGGTCATAAGGTTAAAAAACGTCCCATTTTAAAAGGAAAGAATGTACAATAAAGGCTTCAATCTCTTTCAGAATCATTAAATCTTCTCTAATAATTGCAGGAAAGCATATAGACTCTTTTAAGAGAGCTGAGAATCTAAAGAAGAATAATTGAGAGAAAGTGTTACAAAAATCGGCTTCATTACACACTGCTGAACTTGAACACATTTGAACTTATCAGCGATCTGTTGAGATATTTACGTGATACATACGCTTAGTAAGCCAAAAATGCATTTCAACTTATTTAGAATACCACATTGTTTAGATAAAATACAAAGTTGAGGAGCATAAGCTAAGCTTTACTATAGATAAACTAATTTCTAAGGTTGGGCGTTACTTCGACAGTTCGACATTATGTGCATGCAGGTGCTCAATTATGTGTTTGCCATTCAGTCAGGAATTTATGTTAACCTCGTATAAAGAAGAACCCTCCTTTTAATAATAACTCATTCGTTTTGGATTAGAAAGCGTAATTAATTTTTAAGTCTGCTCCGTTTCTTGTTAAGCCCAGGAAGTAGATTTGCGATTAACGCAATATATATGTAACATATAATGATTCCACATAAAAAAGTATATTCTTTTGGTGACACAAGGAGTCGTGGATGATTGGCTAAATTAATTTAATCTGAACTCTACCAGACCCACTCACTTCATTAAGTTTTTCAACTTCAAAGTATATTCGATGATTGCATGTTGCGCGTTCTAACTTTTGAAGTGACTCGAATTTATGTCGCATACTGTCTTTTCTTGTGACTGTCGTAAATAATTTTATTAAACCACCAAACTTGTGAACATCGATGTCTGTAATTTCGGATTTCATCAATTCCACTATTAAATAGTTATAAAAATATTCAGCCAGTAAATCTTGTCAATTCTCGAGCACGAATAACACTCGTGTAATTTCTGAATCATAAAAATTCAGTAAACGACGTAAATACTTTTATGTTTGGATCATACCATCGAATATTGTGAATTTTGTTTCGAATGTACCATGGATTTAATGCCACCATTAGCCAGTCGCGCTTGAGCGTCATTGTCTGTCTGCCGCCGTGGAGTTAAACAGCGAAGGGGTGAGCTGCCGAGTCATCCTTTAGAATGGACGTCAGATAATCGTGATTTAATAGCATTATAACTGAATCACAATTTGTATCCCCTGTATTCTCTTGATATTGTTATCATATTTTAGTTAATGTCGTGTCTGTATTCTTACTGCTGCACCTATACGTACAGATGTTGATTGGCGCCATCATTCTTCAACCCTCAATAAACTCGCTGAATCTTCACAGTCATTACTCCATTCTACATAATACATATTGCACTAATTAGTTAGGGAAGAGGGACGGTCGTTGTAAAATCCAATATCTCCAACCACTATGAGAAAACCTTCCTCTTTCTTCAGTTTTCACGGCACGGCGTTGTTTTCCTTTTCAATGATAATTTCCACAAGGATCTCTGTACACAAAATTAGTGACGTCGGACTTTCTTTCATGGGTGAATAATATTCAATGATATCTGCTTCAATGAAAGAAGCAGATATCAGGTGAATTTGAAGGTAGCCTAATTCGTAACTTTTGCTTCAGTTACTCTCAACAGTTTTTTATTCGCTACTCTTAAAAAATGAGATTGAGGCTAAACCGCTTAGAAGTTCTCCGTGTGGTGCCATACAAATTTTGGACATTGCGTGCCATTTTTTCTGAAAAAATATTAGACACATCCACTTGAAAATAGCATTCAATTAAAAACTTGCTGTTCAAATGCTCCTGATTTTAAGCATTTTTTATGAACTGACAGGAAACATTGTGTGTTAAATTAAAAAATTAGCCAGGCGTAACAGGCTAACCTGTTACTTCAACTCCGCATGCAAGTTAAGGAGCGTCTACCCCAAAATCTATCTCGGTTATTTACAGACGGATCGTATTGAAACTTGGTACATGCATGTAAAACAGAAAAATAAATCTTTTTTGTTCGTGTGAATTTTACGGAAAAAATGAAATAAAACGTGATATTCCTATAAATTGGCAAAATAGGTACTGTAGAAATCTATCTCGTTCTAGGATTTTCAAGCTACAACATCGAGACATATATCATTAGATGCGTAAAGACCGTATCTACAAACGCTAGTAGGCGTTTTTCTAAATTCTCATTTTTGTGGGTGTGGGGGCATTTTTCATAAATTCATAGGATTTTGTGAAGGCGCTCCACCCCCTCCACTCTTTCGGGATCTGTCGCGAACGCATAAATCAACGTACAGAGATGGTTCTAGTACCGTTCGATGCGACAGAATGTAAGCTTTGAGATGAGCATAAAAATCGGCAAAGCCGAAAATTTCGTGTTTTAGGGTAGACGCTAAAGGTACAACTAATGAGGAATGTATGATGTGAATTACATGCCTATAGAGTTATTCAATTTTTAATGAAACACTATTTTGCAAAAAAGTGTCAAAATGGGCACATTGCCCCACCCCTGGGGCAATGGGCTTGGGGCAAGGGGCCCTCCCCTGGTTCATTAACCTAATTACATATTTTTTGCTTAAAAATGATAAAGCAATACTCTATAGTTAAAATAAGAAAAATGTAATAAAAAATGTGACATTCATTCATTTGTTAACAACTTAAAAATCATATCCTTAACTTGAAAAAAATATGTTATTGGCATAAAAATATATATCCTTGACTTGAAAAATATATCCTTGCGCTATAAAAAATTCATGCTTGACATGAAAAAATGTATCCTTGACTAGAAAAATTATATTTAGTTGATCAGAAAAAAAATTCGTTCCAGTTTCGTCAATAATCCAGATATTATGTGTAGGGAATTCATACTTAATCTTGATTCCAGCCAACACTATAAAAACTCGTCAACTTTTGGCAAGGCAGGAGTCAATAACTCGATTAGGGGTCA